CCCGTTGCACCAGTTAACCAGTTACAAGGAGTGGACCTGATACTCCGGAGGGATTTCTTGAAGCGGTTCAACCCTACAATCAACTGACACCAGGGGATGACCATGTTTAAAAATAAAAATCAGTCTATCGAGTAGCCAACTTAGGATAACACAGGAGACGTACCAGCTATCTCGTGGGTACGATTCTCCAAGGAGCTGAAGAAAGCGGAGTAGTGTTACACGGTGCAGGTTACTAAAGTAGACGACACCGAATTGGAGCCACCTGAAGACCTTCGTAGTGCCATCAAAGGGGTTCTCCAAGAATTCAAGGACGTATTACTCGACGACCTATCTGTGGGCATACCACCAGCACGTGTACACTAGCACGAGATTGTGGAGGAACCTAGTTCTAAACCTACCTTCCGACCTCCGTACCGCCTCAGTCCGCTAGAGCTAGCGGATATGTAGAAGCAGATTGAATGCCTGCTGGAGAAGAAGCTGATTCGACCGTCAACCTCACCTTACGGAACACCTGTACTCTTCACACCAAAACCCGATGGTTCGTTGCGGATGTGCATCGACTATAGGGCGCTCAACAAGCAGACCGTCAAGAATAAATATCCTATTCCAAGGATAGAAGACCTGCTGGACCAGCTTTGAGGAGCCACAATTTTTTCTAAAATGGACCCCCGGTTAGGATATTGGCAAATTTGGATGGCGGATAACTCTATCAACAAAACCGCCTTTCGGAAGCAATATGGCTCCTACGAGTATTTAGTGATGCCGTTCAGACTCACGAACGCGCCCGCCACGATCCAAGCCAAGATGAATCATATTCTCTGCCCGCTGCTTGACGAGTGTATTGTGGTGTACGTGGACGATATCCTAATACACTCCAAGATGATGGACAAACACATACATCACCTGCGGCAAGTGTTTGAGATCCTTCAGAAGGAACAGTGCTACGCCAAACTCTCGAAGAATGAATTTGCGTTGAATCAAGTTCCCTTCTTGGGACACGTTGTCAGCGCATGCAGAGTACACGTGGACCCCAAGATGATCGAAGCAGTGAAGCAGTGGAAGCAGCGTGAGAACGTGAAGGAGCTTCAGCAGTTCCTCGGCTTTGCCAACTACTACAACCGCTTCGTCCCCAATTATGCCGAGATAGCAGTACCGCTCACAGAGTTACTAAAGAAAGGAGTGCCTTTTCAATGGGGGGAGATGCACACGTAAGCTCTGGAGAAGCTGAAACAAGCCTTAACTTCGGCACCGGTCCTCATCCTACGTGACCCAGAAAAGGACTACGTTCTCAAAGCTGCAATAGTGATGCAGTCGTGGGAGCAGTACTCATGCAAGATCATGGCAAAGGGTTGCAACCTATTGCATACCTTAGCAAGAAATTGCATGGAGCACAGCTGAACTACCTCATACATGACAAAGAGGCTTTGGCCATCATCCTTGCCTTAAAGAATTGGCGCTGCTATTTGGAAGGAGCGACAACGATGGTCTACACCGACCATTGCAGCCTGAAGTATCTGAAAACACAACCGGCCCTGTCACGACGTCAAGTTCGGTGGCTGGATTTCATGGAGATCCACTTCAACTATGACATCGTGTACAAGCCTGGGTTGCATAACAAGGCTAACGCACTCAGCAGACCGCCGAACCTTGCCTCCCTCCAAGTGCAAGGGATGAACCATCTCCTCAAAGGCCCATTCCAACACGGCTACAACACTGACCCATAGATTCCAGCAACAGGTACAGTGACGGAAGAAACTGTCCATATGTTGACCCTTTGAGTGGTTAAAATGCGTGTGTATTTTCCATACATACTCTTTCATGCAGCTGGCTTAGACTGCCTCCTCAGCAAGAAGAGCACACGTCATGCAGCCTGAAAGGGCATGTTTATTATGCAACACCAATACCAACATGTAGATGCAGACTCCTTCTGTGGGACCAAGGGCTCGCGTATAAGAAGGGTACTAAGAAGTTGTGGGTACCTAACTATGCACCCTCGAAGCAGCTACTGCTAGAGGAATATCACGACACTGCATTAGCTGGACACTTCGGCAGCAACAAGACCCTAACAGGTGTCGCCAAATATTACTACTGGCCGAACATGGCGACAGACGTCCAGGAGTTCGTTACATCTTGTGATACGTGCCAGCGAACGAAGAAGCTTGGCCTCCTCCAACCACTACCCGTTCCTGAACAGCCTTCGCATACAGTGAGCCTAGACTTCATCACAGGACTCCTGCGTACGGCAGCAGGACATGATGCAATCATGGTGATTATCGACAATTTCTTAAAAAATGGGCCACTTCATCGCCACGCACGCGAACGCTACTACCGAAGAAACAGCCCTCCTGTTCTTCCATCGAGTCTCTTACCTCCATGGGATCCCCAAGACTTTGATTTTTTACAGAGATCCGAAGCTCACTAGCAAGTTCTAGAAGGAACTCATGTGACACCTTGGAGCTCGTCTGGCGATGTCATCCGCCTACCATCCACATATTGATGGGCAGACAGAACGAATGAACCAGGTCGTGGAACAGTTGCTGAGGGTTGCTTGCAAGGACGAAACAAGCAAGTGGGACCAGCAGTTACCTCTAATAGAATTCTCCTACAACAACGCTACCCACTCATCTACGGGATAGACACCGTTCTTTCTTTGCTACAGACGACATCCCCTCACTACACCACAGCCTCTTGTTCCTTCTCAAGTCCAACCGGCACATGACTTTGTCACTTCCATGCATCAACTCTGGGATACTATGCAGAAGCGCCTCCAAAAGGTGCAAACATCCAAGAAAGGACAAATGAATAAGAGCCGAAGGGACCATCATATACAGATTCGAGACCCTGCTCTATTGGACACCAGGAACCTTGACCTTAGCCACATCCCTTCTAAGCTTCGGCCTCGGTTCTGTGGACCCTTCGTCGTTGAGGCACAGGTTACTCCTGTAACCTTCCGCCTTCAACTCTTGACAACATGGAGGATTCACAATGCCATGTGCAACTCCTGAAACCCTACAAGGACCCAAATCACCTCTACTCAGGACGACAGCTTCCGCCGCCTACTCCTATCATCATCAACGGAGAACCTGGGTACGAGATCGAGTCTGTGCGTGCTCATCAATGCCGGCGTCATGGCCACATCGAGTTCCTCATCCGTTGGAAGGGCTACGACCCGTCTGAGGACAGCTGGGTTAAGGAATCCGACATGGGAAACGCTACTCGTGCTATCTGACTGTACTTACTCAAACAGGGCGTTACAGATACCACCCAGTTTTGAGGGAGGGAAGTGTGAGAGCCGGTTAGGTTTCCTAGGAGAAAAGACTATTTCTATATTTTCTAGGACACTATTCATTACCTAGAATACTCCTTCTAGTCACTCGGATTATTTTATCCAAAGTGGTTATTTGGATTATTCTCGGTTATCATAAGTGTATGTGTTATCTAGATTAACTGTTGTGTGCACCGAGTGTTCACCGTATTTCGGCGAATCCCCTAGTGCTTCTAGCACAGTTGCTTCTAGAGGGAAATGGTTATTTTAGGACCCACCTTCTTTGTTTCTGTTCTTCCTTTCATATGGAAGCAGAGCCTTTTAGATCGAGGATCTCAAGAAGACCAAAGGGTTTGGTTTTGGGGGGTAGCGAAAATCGCGAGGTGTGGTGGGGGGTGTTGGAGGCCTCAATTACTGTTTCGCTTATTTCGTCACCCCGAAACCAAACCTTTTGGATTTGGTTTCGTGCTTCTTGAGATCCTCGCTTTAAAGCATGGCCTGACATCGCACTGACGCGTTAGGCATTCTCGCTCTGATGCAAGCCATTCTTGCACTGACACGTGGCACTCTCAAAACTGACACATAAAAAGTAACGCAAGAATTTCGTGATTTTCCCGTTGGTGACGGGAGGTGCTCCTTCACGAAATCAATAGATCCCCCTTAGTAGCTAGCAACAGATTCTGTACAACTAGGAAATAAGTTCCTTATCGAGCAAAATAAATGAGCAAGGATCCTACCTATTTCCAGCCTCGATAATGTCCACCCTAGTTTTTCTCCCTGCATTTTCCTGATTTCCTAGGGTCTTTTGTCCAGGAGAATACGGTACAATTTGCATAAACATTCACACACTAAAAACCCCATGTCTAATCAAACTTATTTGCGCATCCAAGCTAATCGCTGTTGCAAAATCACGCTCCATATCTTCCACCTGTGCATCCACCTTCACTGCTACACCCCGTTCCTTTTGTCCCACCACCTCATCCTTAATCTCCTGCAGCTCGCTGGCAACGTGAGCCATGCTTGGGCGGCTGGCAGTGCGCTCCACGGTGCAGCTGACTGCCAGCTGGGCAATGTGCAGGACAGCAGCCTCAGGAACAACGCCCATCCTGGGGTCCTGGAGGGCTGCTATGCTGCCTGAAGAGAGGCACCCTCCGACCTGTGTAAGCACAAGAGTGTGGTCCAACGAATTCAGGAGATTTAAGACACACATGCAATGGTTAGAATACTTATGTAGCAGGGAATGAGACTATATCTATTGCATTGGGAGGGGGAAACCAACCCACGAAAAACTCTAACAAGGGGCTATACACTAGCCTTTAGCAGTAATGCTCACCAATGCTATGATGTACAAAACGCGTAAGTAATACTTACCCGTGGCAGGATATGGACGTCATCTCCCCCAAAATCGGCACAAGGATTGCACCCCGTAATGACCACAAGCATCAACACACCAAAGCTGCACACACAACGACGTGGATATCACCATGTCAACAGGATCAGAATGGTGCACCATGACAACGAGCAGTTACTGCTTCCCACGTGAAGAAAGTATGGAAGATATGCCACAAACGTTAGAAGATATGCCACAAACGTTACAGAGATTGTGCCATGCGTGAAGGAGGGCCGGTTAGGCAGAATCTGAACGAGACAAACAAATCAATCCTTGTATCACGCTCATGAAACACATTGGTAGCAAATAATCATAGACACACACGCACCTGGCAAAAAAATGGTGTTAGATAATACTAGAGAAAATAGCTCACCAGTAGACATCCGTCTCCGTGGTTGCTAATGAAGTCTTGGAATAGATCGGATCCACATATCCTGGTGTTCCCATTACTCGAGTGCAGCCCACGGTGCTTCCCTCTTCAGCCCTTGCAAGCCCAAAATCTGCAATTTTGGCCTGTTGGGTAGCACACACACGCGAAAGATTAATTGAAGAGAAGGCAGTGCCTACGTATAGTCCAGTACTGAACTTTCCAACCATATTGACCATATCTACCGAGCATGTTTGCTCATTTATAGTTAAACTAAAAACGGCTCTAACCCAAGCCCCAGCTTCCTGCATTCAGAGTGTACTTATATAGCTTACATGCAAGTCGGCAGTAATGAGGACATTGGCGGGTTTAATGTCGCGATGCACAATGCCAAAGCTGTGGAGGTACTCCAAGCCACGTGCAGCACCAATGAGAATGTCCAGCCGCTGCCTCAAGCTCAAAGGAAAAGGCGCCTCTGCAAGGGTTTCATGTCAAGATCCTTAGGAAATGATCCTTGATTGAGGTTTGATACTTGAGGAATAAATAACCCTAGATGAACAAGCCTTAGGAGATGATCATTATGATTCTTTGGAAGTAATTTGCATGGCACGATTCACACAGCTAGAGCTCCAAGCAGAATTATGCATACATTGAAATCCATGTGTACGCTAACCTTGACAACAGGCAACAAAGGAACCATTGCTCTGCTCTTTATCTTACTTGAACATACCTGACATGAGCCACATTTGAAGGTCACCATTAGGCACAAACTCGTAGACCAAGACCTGCTCCGGGCGTGTCCTCATGTCTCCTCCAGCAGCAAAGCCTAGTAGCTTCACAATGTTGGGATGGTTCTTGTCGGCCATCTGATGCACCTAAAGAGCCAAGCAAAAGTAGAGGAACAACAACGATGAATGGGGAGCATGGTTTGGAGAATATGGTTCATGATCCCGCTGGAGCAAGGCCTAGGACAAAATTTTCCTAACTGTAAATGGAGCTCAGGCTACTGTAGATGGTGTAATCCCGAGCTATGTTACCGCAAACGCGTTTAGCGTTTTAAACGAAGCGTTTAAACGCTAAACGTGCCTTCTTGGGTTTCTAAACGCTAGGGTAAACGCACATCTGGGCAGCTGAAATTCCCCCCCTGGCAGGGTAAAAAAACCGGGGGGAGGTAGGGGGAGGCAAGGGGATTATGCGCACAACATTTTCAGTCCAAATCTTTCCAAAAAAAAAATAAAAAAAATGACGCTGCAGACGCTTTAGGATTAGCGTCAGCAGCATTAGGTGGGGTCGACACGGGTGCAGACCCTCAACTTGAAGCGAAATTAGGTAGCTAGGGTGGGAGGTGAGAGAATAGCGACGAGAATAGGGTGGGATCTGAGCTACGGCTATGTGTATGGCGCGTGGAACACTAGGGTTCCCGTTCTTGACAGGGAAGAGATTGTGAGGGAAGGAGGGGAGAAAGTGGTTAGGTTGGAAGTTGTAGATGAATAGGGTGCTGTGCGGTTGAGCGGGGCAAAAGGGTTGGATGCGTTTTTTGGTCGTTAGGTTGGGATTTGCGACTTGGCGAATGTTTGGTTAAATTCGCCACGACGCAATGTCGCGGAAAAAAAATCCGTTTTTATTTTTTGCCAGGCTGCCCCTAAAATTTTAGCAGAGCGTTTAGCGTTTATGCGTGCGTTTCGCGTTTAGCGTTGAAACGCATGGTTTAAACGCTAAACGCTGCCCCGCCAGAGCGTTTGCGGTAACGTAGCTCCCGAGTATATAAGTCGTGTCTTTCTACACGGTTTGATTTCCGCTTGTATATGTTACACAAAAATCTAACCTGTGTTATACGGTCTACGTAAATTGCTGCTAAAACTACAACACTCCATAAAAGTGAATGCGCTGACTAGCTCACCTCCTTTTGGAAACCAGCATCCATCAGCCTCGCTCTCTTGACAGCCCATGCTGTGGTGCCATCACGAGGCGACACCCCCTTGTACACATCACCAAAGCCACCGGAACCAAGCAGGTTGTCCTTGGACCAGTTTCTGGTGGCTTGTAGGACTTCAGCAAGAGAGTACTCGGTGCACAGCACTGCTGCTGCCATGCCAGATCGATCTGTTGATGCAATTAGGGGTTAACGAACAGCACACATTGGAGAGTAGGTACTGCAAAAGAAGTAGGAAGCAAGGCAAGCTTGCTGGTGTCACCAAACCACATACCTTGAGCCTTCGTCAGCATCTTGTGTCTCAAGTAAAGAAGTGCGGAGAGAAGGAGGACTGCAGTGATAGCAAGAGTAGTGCCGAGAATGGCTCCTAGTGATGATGATGGCTGGCTATCGCTGCTGCTGTTGCTGTTGGGGCTAGGAGTCTCAATTGATCCTTCACAGTGCACACAGACGGCAACAGCAACGGCAGCAACAAGATAAGAGTCATCACACGTGAGACAATTCGATTGCACGGGTTAATCCAGGACAGAAACAGCATGCAGCATGATCATGTGGGAGCAAGTTCAAGGAGTAGCATCTCGAAGCATTTACTTTCTCTGGATCAAGCAGTGCACCTTCCACTTGCCCTTGACAGCGCCTCACAAAATTGCACAATGCTATGTCAGTGCCCCTTCAAACCCATGAACCGTTCTAGTTAAAGTCAACAGCTTGTAACGCCCACTCACTATCCACTCTAACCATCAGCAACATATTCAGACAGTGTGTCCTCAAACGCGGCCCGAAGCTCACCTGGTGCTTGAGTGTCACACGTGGTGCAGAAGGAGAGGCACTTCTGGCAAAAGGCACTGGAAGCATCCTGTGGGACCACGCAGCTGCTGTAGTTGGATGGGCACGTTATTGCTGTTCCAAGTAGGTTACTGCATGCGATGAGAAAGCATACATAAAAAAGAAGTGTATTAGCTTAATCTCTTGCACTTGTTGGAATGCACCATGATTGCGAGTGACTGGACTAAGGCGTAATACTTGTTAGCACAGTAATTAGAGACTCTTACAAGTCTTGAAGAGTGGTAAGAACTCCCAGTGTTGCTGGGAGCTGTCCAGTAAGAGGGTTTTGATTAACACGGCTGCAATTAAGGGGGCGGGCAGATAGTACACCAGAGTGAGTGTTTCTGTCAAAAGCACAGCTTTCGATTCAGTACATTCAGTCCACGTGGTGGTTGCCAGAAGATAAAACTTCACTCCACCCTTTGCACTCAACGTGTGAATCCATTCTGAAACTTCAATGCTGCTAGGAACCCTTATGTGGGGTTGCCACTTACATGCCTGGTAAGTTGATGGTTTGAAAGCTTTGAGGCTGCAGCTATAAAATTTATGTGAGAAGAACACTCACAAAAGTTGAAGGCTTGTGAGCTTTTCAACAGATCCAGGGATAGTGCCAGTCAGGTTGTTATTGTTCAGGTACCTGATGAGTAAGAAAATTATAAAGAAATAGCACACGTGTGACGTGTCCATGGCATACATGCAGTGCAGACAACAAATGAATGAAATACTAATACAGGGGAAATTAAGCCAGATGCCTTTAATGGAACAAAAATAGTATTTCTATATTTCCTACTACTCAAGATTTTCCACTTATTACAGTAGACAAAAGACAACTAGTGAAACTCAAATCGAAGAGCTCACTTTGTGCAGTCAATATTCAACGTGGAGTTTATCAACTCTTCTTTGGTTGCTTTCCTCTCATGACGGAATCATCGAATCAACGCTGGTCTCTAGGCATTAAGTCGAGCATCCAATTCCAAACTTCTCAGACACAGCCATGTCAAACTCTTGAAGCCGTTGACCCATAATGCATACTTTTGTGTTCAAGATTAGTAATCTTGAAAGGCGAAAATAGGGTAGCCAGGTTTTGGCCAAGCCAGTCTCGCCCGAGTTTTGGCGACAAAGAGCTGCGGAAGGTCCCCCCAAACTTGGACAACCGGAGTCTACAACTTGGAGTTTCTGAAGCTGAACGTACAACAGCGCACATTGTTTTTGAGAATTCTCAAAAACACCCTGACCGTACAACAGCGCACACACGCCCCCCTCCGTTTCCCCCCGCCCCCCCATTTTGAATCTGCAGCTTGGGACTTGTTTTTGCTTGGCCCCACTTTTCCCGCCGCCTGGCTTGCGTTTTTCTGCGCAACCCTTTCCTTGTCGCCACCTCCCCCGCATTTCTTCGCGGGTGTTTTGCGGTAGTTGGCCGACTTCGTTTTTGGCCAGCGTGTTTTTTCCGCTCGGATTCGTACCCTTTTTGCACACTTGTCACCAAATCGGATTGGTCTCACGCCCACTCGCGCTGCTTTACCTATTTTTTTCCGAGTTATGATTGACAGTTCCTGTGCACTGGTGGCCTGCAATACCCGCACCGCACCACCGGGTGCCCCGAAAAAACAATTGTAAGACCCCCCCTTCCCCCAACTCTCGTGTCCCTTCCATCCCTGCGCAATCCAAGTGGACCGCATGCGTTTGCTGACCCCCCCCTTCCCCCCTTGTGTCCCCTCTCGACTCTTGGTATTCAGGCGCAACCCTCCCCAAAGTCTCCCCCTCTACTTGTCCTCTGTTTTTTCTCGTGGTGTCTTACTCGCAGTCTCGTCAACAAATCGCGTCACTCCGCCCCACCCTGCCTCCCAAACTCCCACAGCAGTGCATAATGGGCCAACGGCTTTAAGTCATGAGCCTCAAAACCCCCCAGACCAAAAACTTAGGATTTGATATGGAGGGCTTTTTGCCCCTGGACCAAAAACTTAGGTTTTGATCTGGGGGGGTTTGAGACTCGCGCTTTACATGTTGGCACCGCTTTAATGCTGAGCGAGCACGGCAACATGTGGACTGGAGATGTGCAACAATATCGGCAACGTGTAGTTGGAATCTCGCTCATAAACCAATGCCACCAAGGATCAGAGTGCTTACAGGTTTTCAAGGCTTGCAAGCTTGCTGATGGAGTCAGGAATGGTTCCAGTGAATTTGTTGTTCTCAAGGTATCTATTGAGATCACAAATAAACAAGAGTTTGAGAGGCAGCAGAATAGAGTACACCACAAAACATGCATGCGGGAAGTATACCTCGGTAACATACCTCGTGAAAACAAAGGGGCATGGTCAAAGCACTAAGTCAATGACAACCAGGATGTTGCACATCTAGGCCTGTGAACCCTCGCAAGAGTGTTTGTTGTCGATAAGGTGGTGCAGTCAGTGACTTCGGGAATGGTCTCAGTCAACTTCTGGAGCGACTCGAAAGTCACTTCCAAGTTACTATTGCCAAGAGCCCTTACAAGTATGTCAAAGAGGTGGCGCCCCCAATGGCATTCGGAATACCAGTGAGACTGTTTGAGCTCAGGTTTCTGTGTTGGGGTTTACGGACGGGAGGTTGGACAAAGGGCAACACCACAAGGTTGAAGAATGGGAGAGTGTGAGAGAAAAATGAGAGGAGTGGTTAAAGGCAAGAAGTTCTCATGAAATTATTGACCTCACTTACCAGAGTCCTTATTTCAGC